ATGGCAGGCAGCATTTGAAAAGTTTATACTGTTTTGAAAAAATTGAATTCAGAACTAATGCAGCTGCTATAGTTGCCTGTCTTCAGAAAATTAGAAATATTGGCTTGAAAAATGGTTTTTCAGAATTTAAAATAATTTATTTCAGCAGGTGGACATTTGTCTGGAGTGTTATTAGGAGAAAAGCCACCTCTCATTTTCATCCAATAATTTCAACTGCCATTGTTTTTTTTTCTTCAAAATTTCAGATAAAGATAACAGACTTCATTTTGACTTTTGATGAATTTATTAAGAAGAAAAAGATTTGCATTGGATCTGAAAAAAATAAAACTTTTGTGACCAGCACTGATTCATGGACCAATTATTACTTACAATTTAATGTGTCAATGGGGAACATTGTACTTCATTTTCATTAACGTCATATCATACGCATTGCACAGTTCTCTCAAGAGAACTTTCTGTGGATATTGCTTGCATGCAGGGTTATTGCTCCATCACTTCAATTCCTTATTTGGAAATTTTCTGAAACCCTCAAAAAATTAAGAAATGATTACATGATATGCAGTGTATGTTAGAGGTTCCATTATTTGTTGAGCAAGTGTATAACAAGGGTAGGCTGGTCATCCTCAGACTCATTACATTCAAGACCTTAACACCTGCATAAAACGGTTTGGTTTCATTTGCATAATAAAATACAGGTGACACCGAAATATATTTAGGTACCTTTTCTTTTGGTGTGTAATTCAATTTGATTGTATGGTACGTATAGAGACTGTGAATGGCCAAGGTGTGTATATAGGTATTACCACACATATACACCAGAATATTGACCTGTGGAATGTGAACCCAAATGCAGGACTTCCAAGACGTGCACTTGAGGGGCAATTGGGTCATCCAAGACATTGGATGGCACCTGAGAGACACTTTGGACATGACCAGTCTGCCACTTCCAGGACATGCCATGGTTGAGGTCACTTTTGCCATTCAAGGAAATTGTGACAAGTTCTTGGCCACTCTGCAAGGACCTCTGATTGGTGAGAGAGAAAGAAAATAAAGATTGACAATATGCATGAATTTCAGCTATAGGCTTGTGTAAAATATTACATGCACTCCTAACTTACATTTAAATATGTATACTGCTACTTCCATATGTAGAAATTTGCAAAGTCCCTGTTATAGTTATCTTATTCAAACCATACATTAAAACCTCTTCAACTCAAAAGGGCTTCCTTCTTAAGCCTTTAAAACTCAAATATCCTGCATATATAGAGGCCTTTTTGCCATTACTGTACTACAGTAATTGACACAGGAAAGAAACATGAAAAAAATATAACTTGATAAATTTCAAAAGGAAAACCTGAATAATTGGGAAAATGAACTCTTGCCTCTGAGTTCAGCAACACTGGTCAAGTCATTATTCAAGAAGCAATTCAAGGCCATGAATATCATCAATTTTCAATTTCCTGTATTTCTCTTTTCTTTTCCTCAACAAAAATACCTGCTTCATTTAATGGATTTCTAAATATTTTCATTTTGCTGGTCTCTTATTGAAGTTCAACTTGAAGAGTTTATATACAGTATTGTATATATAGCCATATATATTGGGTGTGAGTAAAATGAAACACATTTGTGATGTATAGCTGCCCTCATGCTCATGCTGGCCTCACTGTGGATGCCTCCTGCACTCACACTCGCTGTGGCCGTCTTCAACACAGCCGTCATCTTGGGCCTGTTCACTTACTACTC